CCCGGCACTTCACTCCCCCGACACTTCACTCCCCGGCACTTTGCAGTGCGGGCGCAAAGCTAGAGATGTAATGAACGAAGCAGAGGACAGAGATGGGGGAAACTTCATCATTTATGGTTTATTATCGCTGAGCAGAGAGAGAAAAATCAGCTTTGAGGCATTCCAAGTGCATTTTTAATGTTGCATTACAAACACCCTCCCCCGCTGAATGGTATTTTCTAAAAGAAACTTTGGAATTGGCACATGACCCCCTCCCTTCCCCCCATAGGACTGCCAGTCCAGCCTTTATACAAAAAGCCAAACAATTGGTTTTGAAGGATTCAGCTCCCATAGGCGATCTTCCCGTGAATGGAACCCAGGCCAGTCCATCCATCACGTCTGCCCTCTGTGAGATCTCTGATGTATAACAAGGTCTGATTTCTGTGTATAACATTTCCCGCACTTGAGGCAAGGATACGGCTTCTCCTCTGTGTGCGACCGCTGATGTGAGAAAAGTTCTAACTCCAGCGTGAAGCTTTCTTCGCACTCGGGGCAGGGAAACCGCTTTTTCCGCGTGTGGCGTTGCTGATGTTGAGTGAGATTGGACTTCTGCACAAAACTTTTCCCGCACACACCACAGGAATATGGCCTCTCACCGGTGTGAGACCTTTGATGTGTGTAAAGATGGGACTTCCGTGAAAACCATTTTCCGCACTGTGGACAGGAATATGGCTTCTCTCCCGTGTGAGATCTTTGATGTAGAATAAGGTCTGATTTACATGGAAAACATTTCCCACACTCGGGACAGGAATACACTTTTTCGCCCGTGTGCAATCTCTGATGTCTGGTGAGACATGACTTCTGCAAAAAACCTTTCCCACACTGGGTGCAGGAATAGGGCTTGTCCACTGTGTGAGACTTCTGATGTATTACAAGTTCTGTTTTCTGTGAAAAACTTCTCCCGCACTCAGGGCAGCGATGCGGCTTTTCGCTTGTGTGAGATTTTTGATGTGTAACAAGCTCTGATTCCTGTAAAAAACATTTTTTACACTCCGGACAGGAATAGCGTTTGTCCTCTATGTGGGATTTTCGGTGTAGAACAAGGTCTGATTCCTGGGAAAAAGATATTCCGCACTTGGGGCAGGAATATAAATTCTCGCTTGTGTGAGATTTCTTATGTCTAGCACGGCAAGACTTGTGTGAAACACATTTCCCGCACTCAGGGCAGGAATGAAGCTTCTCTCTTTTGTGAGATCTCTCATGTTCAGAAAAACTTAATTCAGAGGTAAAACTTTCCCCGCACTCAGGACAGGAAAATGTCTTCTCCCCCTGAATTCCGGCACCATCCCCCACAGGACGAGGTCGCTCGGAGTCAGAGGGATTCCATGGTCTATCCACACTGTGACGTCCACCATCCATAGCTGAGCTCATTGTCTCTTCTCCCGCACAATCTGCTGTGATGTCCTCATCTTCCATCTTACAACCTGGAGATAAAGTCAGAGGATCCTTTGAGGGTTCCTCCATGGCGTGTCCTGGAAACATAGAAACACATGATGGAGAGATATGAGAGGGTTAGATGACTTCACTCAACATTCCATCTGGATCAGGAGGTCTGAGGGAGCGGATGTTCTATGAGGAGGCCCCAACCAGCTGAATCGTTATCAATACAGGGAGGTGGCCATTATCAACCTATTACTGGTCGATATCACTCAGCTCCGCCCTCCTCTGGACCAATCAGTGTGCAGTATGAGCAGAAGAATGTATTTAGTGTTTATGACCCACCTGTGCTGGTCTCTGTAGGCGTGTCCTCCTCTATGGATGTCCTCATCATCCCGGCCTCCTCCGTATATCGCTGATCATCCCTCACATACGTCTCTTCTACTTCACCCTCAACTTTCATCTTCATCAGATCTTCACCCTAAACCAACAGAACGGCAGAAAGTCTCATCTGTGACATAGAAGTATTTATGATGTGACATCACATAGAAGATCTCATCTTGTAGAGTCCACACGTCATCTCCACATGTCAGAGCGTTCCATCACTTTATGTTCCCGCCCCTCAACTCCACCCAACGACTTCTAGGACCTTCTTGCTGCAGGTTTTCTCCGGCGTCGAGGAAAAACGTGGATAAACTGTCATGGTCACATGGTCACCAGGCTTCAAATGGGGAAATCTCTGTGTTGAAGCAGAAAACAATGAATCATTAATGTTGTGACGTCCCAGAATCCTCCTCACCCCTCCGGTCATGTCATGTGACCTCCCAGAATCCTCCTCACCCCTCCGGTCAGGTCTGTGTTTTATGAATAGAGATAAGAGTGATGTCATGTGACCTCCCAGAATCCTCCTCACCTCTCCGGTCAGGTCTGTGTTTTATGAATAGAGATCAGAGTGATGTCATGTGACCTCCCAGAATCCTCCTCACCTCTCCGGTCAGCAGGCAGATGATCTCCAGGGTGA